TGGGTGTATGATTATATCTAGTGCATGTAATACAATTACGTAAGTATTTCTTTAGACAGTTTCTCATTACATTAATACCTCCGTGCAGAGTGATAGTGTGCGCATCTTTAATTATTAAGTTAACTAAATGGCATTTATCAAGAATAATTGGATGCTTTACGTCAAATCCAATACTAGCTTTCTCTAATCTTCCTCCTACTCGAAGTATTCCCTTTTCATCTAAAAATGGATTCAAACTAATTATTTTACTCTTATTTTGTAAATATTTTTTCCCCAACAGCTTTCCTATTTCTGTTCTAAACTGACATGCTTGTTGTTGTTTAATAATTAATATTCTCGCGTTATTTATTTCTTCTACTGTTATATATTTTTGTGGCTTTTGTATCGTTTTTTTGGTTATGATTTTAATAAATCTAATCATAAATGCTACTACTTTTTGTAATTTTTGCATACAAGAATATCGTTTAATCAATTCACCTATTATATTCTTTTCTGAGTTTTCTATCATAGTGTTAACACTTATTTTTTCTTCATCTACATTTTCTTCTTCTTTAGCCCAATGGTTCTTTGATTTGGCTAACCACTTTGGCCCATTCCACCAAATTTCGCATTCTACTAATTTATAGGTATTGATTCCTCTAGATGCTATATCTGCTGGATTGTCTTCTGATTTTACATGATTCTATTTAATTTCTGACATTTTCCTAATCTCATCCGTTCTTTTTCTAATGAATTTATTTTTATTCAATCCGTTTTGGATCCAAGCTAATGTGATAGTGGAATCACTCCACGCAAAGATTTCAACATTAATTCTAATCGATTCTGTTATTTTAGAAATGAGTTTTGTCAAAAGATGGGCAGCGCATAGTTCCAATTTGGGAATAGTTTTACGATTTTATCATTACTGAACTACCTACTTTGGCATATACTACTGCTGCATAGGCTTTTTCAGAAGCATCAGCAAAACCATGAAACTGTACTTCAATATCTTTTCGTATTTTAACTTATTTAATTATCTTGATACACTTTCCATTCTTTGATTTCTTCTTTGGATAGTTCTTCATCCCATTTTTTATCAGTTAGCCATAGCTTTTGCATAAACAATTTCCCTATTATGGTCACTGGAGATAACCACCCTAAGGGATCATATATTTTAGCAAGTGTTGATAAGACTGTTCTTTTATTTATTGTTTTAATATTGTTGTCAGTGAAACTAAATTTAAATTCGTCTTTGAGGGGTTCCCACTGTAGACCTAATGTTTTTATTGACTCATTCTCTTCAATGCTTAACACCTTATTTTCCTCATTTCTGTCTATTTCTTCAATTATTTTTGGTTTATTTGAAATCCACTTTCTCAGATTAAATCCTGATTTTGCTAGTTCACTGGAAACACATTCAACAATTTCTTTACAGTTTTGTATGGACTCAGCGCCTGTCATAAGATCGTCCATATAAAAATCTGTTTTAATTATTTCTTTAATTGTTGCGTTATTGCAATTATTGGCTATGTCTAAAAGAACTCTAGTGGCTAAGTAAGGAGCTTAAAGTTCTTTAATTTTTTACTCGGAGAATCTCTCCAGACAATATATTGAAATTCTTGGTCATGTTTTGATATTTTTATTTGCCTATACATTTTTTCTATATCTGCTGATACTACATATTCCCAGCGTCGCCATTTTAATATAATGTCAAATATATCTTTTTGAACTCTTGCTCCCGTCCACATAATGTCATTTAGACTTTTCTTATTTGTTGTTTTTGCAGATGCGTCAAAAACTACCCTTAGTTTCGTTGTCAGACTACTATCTCTTAACACTGCCTGATGTGGTAAATAATATTTTCCTTCTTTATTTGTAGATATCATATGTCCTAACTTCAAGTATTCGTTCATGAAATTTGTGTAGTCTGTTCTTAATTTTTCATTCTTTTGCAGCTTTTTCTCTAAGCTAAGAAATCGAGCTATAGCTTGTGGCTTTGATTCTCCTAATTCATTTTCTTCTTCTTCCTCTAATTCCCAGAACCGATCTAGGTCTTCTATTGCAATACTTGTCGCTACTATCGTTGTTTTACCTTTCGATTTTGTACAGCCTGATACAATCCAACCAAATTCTGTATTTTGCCCAAGTAATCCATCTATTTTTACTATCCCATCTTTTAGTACGTGTGGATATAAGTCTGCACCTATTATTATGTCTACACGACCTGGTTTATAAAATTGTGGATCAGCTAAAGTGAAATTGTGCCATTGAGCCATGTCTATATTTGCTTTACTAACTGGGAGAGCTTTCATTAACTTTGATAATATGATGGCCTCAACCCTAAATTGTTCTTTATTTGGCTCTCTAGGTTTTATTATTAGCTTAACTTTGTGTTTCGATCTACAAGTATTTTCTGATGAGACACCACTTATTTCTGTCTCATTTCTGGTTCTGGGTAAACTTAGCAACTGTGCGGCCTCCTCAGATATAATTGTTTTTTGAGATCCACTATCTATTAAGGCTCTTAAGTTAATATAATTCCCCTTTATTGTTTTAACTTTAATTATGGCTGTGGCTAATAAGGCCTCTTCATTTGTTACTACTGTATTAACTTTTTCTGTATTTATATGTAACATTGTATGATGAGGCTTCTTACAAAAGTAACAATTCATGTTACTTGTACACCTATTAGTATTCGTGTGTCTTAAACACCTCAAACATAACTGTATTTTTCTTGCTGCATCCAATCTTTCTCTTGGGACCATTGCCTTAAATTTCGTGCATTGCGTGGTACTATGACCTACTACTTTGCATATAGGACAATTGTAACCAGAGTGAATTACTTTCTTTTCCTCCTTATTTGAAGCGGATAATGAACAATGTCGCTGATCTAAGTAGTCCATTACGTCAGTCAGTAATTGTATTTCTTTTGTCTTTTTTATTTGGCTTTCGTATAATTGAAGTGCCTCTTTACTAAATTTCCTTAGTATTATGTGTGCAAAGATTTTATCAACTTCTGAAAGTTGAGCCTTACTTTTAATTATATGTATTGACTCATTAATTGTATCAATAAAATAATTAATACTTTTGGATGAGTCAATATTTAAATTTGGAAGGTCCATTATTCGGTTCAATTGTTCCGAAAAAATTTTCCTTTTATTTTCATATCGCTTGGTAAGTAATTCCCAAGCGGTAGAATAATTATCTGCGGACCCCGTTAACAAATGAGCAACCATGCTCTTTGCTTCTCCTCGTAATGAGGATTTTAAGTAACTGAATTTGATAGAAGGAGTTAAATCTTCTCTTCTATCAATAAGGTCGCCAAATATTTCAGCGAATAAATCCCAATCTTTGACATCACCAAAAAATATTGGGACTTGAATTTTTGGTAGACCCGGAAGGCTATCCATTTTTTCGTGGATTATGGGTTGAATTGGGGTGCTATTTTTGGCTTCTAACGCACTGATTGCATTTTGCACATCAAAATCTAACTCATTAACCTCTTCGTCAAACATTTTGTTTGACACATATTTATTTCTTAGCTCCTGAACTAGCTTTGAAACTTTATTCCATAGATATTTAATTTTATTCTTTCGAATCTCGAAGATTCCTACGTTTCCTTTTGCAATGTCCTCATATATTTCTACTAAATATAGTTTTAACTGTTCGACTTTGCTTTCAAACTCTACTTCTTCTTCAGAGCTTTTGTGAACTGTGACTGCTCTAACATGCCTCACATCTTCTTTATCTTTTTATACCCTGAACCCATTGAAAATGGGAAATCAGGGTATAATGGTTTTGTGAAAAGTATGTAACAGGCAGAAGGAATCATCGCAGACCCCATAAAGTATATATATTCTTGATCAGGACGACGAGCTGAGTCGATATAGCCCTGTCCGTCCGTCCGTCCGTCCGTCCGTCCGTCCCTCCGTCCGTCCGTATGAGCAAAAGGATCTCAGAAGATATAAGAGCTAGAGAGCTGAAATTTGGCATGCATACTCGTGTATACCATAGGCAGTACGAGTTTGCTTTATTTTTTCGATAACTCATCCGATAACTTTTTTATCGAGAATAATCGAAAAATCGACTTGGTTTTTTCAGCCTAGTTTGAACACTTTTAAACCTAGAGACTTCATATTTGCGTTGTATATAGAGTTAATGGACACAAAGATTTTGTAATTTACAGATTTTGGATACCACGCCCCCTTCACCCCCAATTTGTAAAAAACGCATTTCAAATACTAGAGACTTGTGCTTTGGAATGTACACACATTATGATTACGTTTTGAAAGTTTCATTAAGATTGTATGTCTACAAAAGAAATTATTCAACAAATAAATTACCATAATATTGCCCACATTGCAGCGCAGCCCAAGCGCAGCCGCTGCTTACTGCGCAGTTAGCAGAGCGCGTGCTTATAAGTGCATGTGTATGTATGTGTATATAGAATAAGTGCAGAATGATTAGAATATCAGCTTGGAGGGTTCAGGGTATCTCCTAGTCGAGCAGTCTCGACTGGAGCCTTCTTACTTGTTCTTTCTCAGCCCTCATAATTTCTAATTTCAAATCTTTTATGCTTTTCATTGCTTTATCAAATTCCTTATTGTTAAAGTATGCATGGTCTATTACCCCTACTTTTAGCAATAAAGTATGATTATTTTCTAACTCTTCTTTTATTTTTTCTAACTCTCCTAAAATTTCGCTCGGTGGCCTAATTTCTTCAGATGAGTCTAATTTTTTCAATCTGGACACTAAGTCCGATTGCATTTTCAAAAGCTTTATAGCTTTTTCTGAGAGCATTTTTTTTTAAATTTTTTTTTTTATTTATTTAAAAAAATTAAACTACGACTTATGTTTATCTTATCCGCGTTGTCCTCCTATTGATCCAGTCTTCTCTGAAGGGGGCGTCTTATGATCTTGGTGAGACTCGTCTTCCCGTTGGCCACTGACGGTTCTGATGAGTCGCTGTCTCTCTTTCTAGATAGAGAACAAAAACCCTTTGGTAGTATTCTGCCTCTCCGCACTTTGCGCGAGTGAACAGAATTACTTCGATTTTTGTGTTTTTTTTTTTTAACCGAACTTTTCGGATTTATATGTATTATTTTTTCGTCTCTCCGCACTTCACGCTAGAGAACAGAATCACTTCAATTTTTGTTTTTGTTTTTTGTTTTTCTCTCTCCGCACTTCACGCGAGAGAACCGAACTTTTCGGATTTTTAATTTTTTATTTTTTCCATCTCTCCGCACTTCACGCGAGAGAACCGAACTTTTCGGATTTTTAATTTTTTATTTTGTCTAGTCCCTTTTTGGGAATGCAGACTCACCAGCACTACAAATTTTCTTTTTTTTTTTAATTTGAGCACCACTTTTCAGTTTATATATGTATATACTCTGTCTCTTACCACTGGCGGGGGAAAACAGAGTAATATACTATATTTTGTCTTAAGCTGAGTTTTTTTTTTTTAAAACTATCAGCATTAAGACGCTGGTTCCTTTCTCTGTGTCTCTTACCACGGGTGGGGGAAAACACAGAGAACGCCGAAGGACCAAAATGTTAGAGCGTTAAAATAAAACAACTCCACATTTGCCGAATTCAAGATGGAAACTGAACTGTTTATTGCTTAAAATCCTAGTTCTGGAAGGGTGCATTTTCTCACACAAACAAGTGCACAGATGTTTACTTAAGTGTCCTTTTTTTTGAATCGTTGGGCCCAGGCTCACGTTACATTTACATATATTAGACGCTGCATTAGTCGCTGCAACTAAGGGATGACATATTTATTACTTTGTGTCGGATAACGCGCAGGTTATTCGAGTACTGTCTCTATTTTTATTATTATGTATGTTCATGTTTGAACATTCTGCCAGGGGCCCAAAAATGTTGTGGCTGTAAAAATTTTTATTTTTTGTTCGATGACTCGCAGGTTCCAGTATTGACATGTTTTCAAACATGCGCTGCTGAGCTTGATGATTTGAGAGACCATAGAAAGAGAGAGAGTGAGAGAGAAAGAGAGATAGATAGAGTGTGGAGAGAGTAGACAAAAAACGCAGAGCGCATACAACGGGACCACTTCGTTTGCGTGCTTGTAGCGCACTGATTTCGTCGTGCTATCTTTCATTACCCTAGCCAGCAAATACCGAGCCGAGCGAATACGAAGTTGTTGGTAGCTACTGTACAGATTTTTCGGTGTTCAAAAAGTTAGTTCTACATGTCTAGTCTATGTGTTGTTTGGTTAGTGCTTACACTATTTAAGTCGGTTTGTGCCACGGCACGTTAATCGAAATGAGTGGAGGGGGAATAGGTACATAAATTATTAATCTGTTAGGGCAATGAAGTTAACCAGCGTATTCAATTTCAATTGTTAATTTATTTCACATCTATCTCTTCTTACTTTAACTACGTTTTAACTAATGCGGTCTAACGGTTAATGTTTACCTGGTCACTTTGCCCGCTCTCGTTAGAATAATCTTTCTTGCGTTCTTAAGCCGGCTCCACGCCTCCGCCACATGTTCCCCCTTACCAACTAGAGAGATGCCCGTCTTCCACATCACTGGTCACCTTTTAGAATTGTGCGACTCCCGTGTTCTGCTCATTGCCCGCCGGGTCCACAACGGCCGGTTCGACATTGAGTTTCGTCCCGCGCTGTGGTCTCTGGAGCGTGGGGTACGACGGAGGCACGGCGTTCCCTGACGCCATCCTGCCTCCACGACGGGGATTGGTCTTTACCCTGCTCCGCCTACGTCTGCTTGACTCCTTCCTCTGACCATGGCGTGGGACTTGCCCATCCCTCTCGTCTTCGCCTTCCCTCTGGGAGGTGGCATGTACTTCCAGCCGCGATATCGCTGTCGGAGGTGGGGGAGAGGGCGAGTCCTCCATATAAGGCGCCGTCCCTCGCGACTGAGGCAACTGGATCATGAATCCATCCAGCCTCTTCGTGATGTTAACCGAGGACTGGTGGACCAGGGGGTCCACGCGAGATCGGTAGTAATCCTGGCCTATCCTCGGGACGCCTCACCGTCCATGTTCCTTAACCGGAAAGGGTTCCGTGTCGGTGTCGCTCACATCTAATGACTTCGTGTTCCATTCCGTTATGTATGCTATTCCCCTTCTCTTCCCCTTTTCTTGACCGTTACGGCCTTCTTCAAACTACCATGTCAGTATTGTGATTTGTCAAAGCTTACTACTTATTAACAATAGGTTTGACATTAGGCGAGGACGTTATTGTGACTGAGTGTGTAGCCGTCAGTGTCTTAGAAACTCTCGTCAATTGCCACTCCTCCACCGCTTTTTGACAGCTGTCTAGGAGTTTCCGAAACAATACGTCGGCCACCACGTTCAGGGTCCTTCGACTATAGCGGCCGTCCAATTGCTATTGTTGCAGTTCTAATGCGCATCGAGCGATCCTGGAGCTTTTTATGGAGCTAAACCATTTCAGTGCCAGATGATCCGTGACCACGTTGAACGCCTCCAGATAGCGGCGCATCTTTCTGATCGCCCAAAACGATCATAAGGCACTCTTTCTCCGTGGCCGAGTAATTCATTTCCGCGTTTACCAATTTTCATCTGGCGCAGGCTGTAACTCGTTCTTATACCTCGACTTCCTGCGTCAACGCCGCGCCCAAGCCGCAATCGCTGGAGTCGGTTTGCAACACGAATTTCTTCAAGAAGTCGGGGCATGCCAAGACTGTTGCCATCGTAGCGCCTTTCCTTAGTTTCCGCAGCGCGTCCTTTTGTTCCTCGGCCCAGGCTCATTTCTGACCCCTTTTAAGCAACGTTGTCATCGGCCCATTGTCCAACGATACGAAGCTTAGCACAAACCGCCTGTACCAGAACGCCATCCCCAGACATTGCCGTAACTTTTCAGGTTCTTCGGAGCCGGGAGGCTTCGTATCGGCTCGACCTTCGCGGGATCTGTGCAGATCCCCTCTCCACTTATATCGTGACAAAGGCAGGCAAACTTTTCCTGAAAGAAACTGCACTTCTTCCTATTGACCTTAAGGTTAGCCGCTCTTAATTGTCGGAAAACCTCCTTCAAGTTAACCATGTGCTGTTACTTCGTCGACCTGCTAGTTAATTACCTTCTGCATGGCCGGGTTCTTAGGTTCTTAGGGTAGTACCTCTGCTTGAGACGCTTGTCTCGCATCCTGTTGCTATGTTCCGTGATGTGAGACACTCCCTCGAGATTCTCGAAGAGTGTCAGCTCAGTCTCCAGAAATTCCTTTAAGTCGGGTTCCAAGTCCTGAGCTTTTCGCTCCTCCGATGCCGGGATCCAGCATGGCGCCTCGGGATTCAACCGCTTCTTGCCTCCTCCGTTCGCACGTTGAGAGAGGTTGAGTTGCAGAACAGACTATTAGAATATTATGGTTTGGGAGTAGAGGAAGAGGACTCAGAGGATGAAGTAGTGAATACAGTTCCGTTGTCGCGTAATTTCGAGCAAAACAAATCGTGATTTACAATTAAAGATGTAGAGGATAGTGTAAATAAGTTTGATGGTTCGAGTTCAATGGATGTAGAACAGGGAGTTTCAGAGGTTGAAGCATGTACTGTTACTGTTCAGTGGTCAGAGCTGCAGTTGTTTGTATACTTGAAGGTGCTGCTAAGTTGCTTATCCGCAGCCAGAGGGGTATAAATAACTGGGAGAAACTGAAAACAGCATTGATAAGTGAATTTTAAGTAAGAGTGATATCGGCAGAAATCCACAGAAGGTTGAAAAAGAGACTGCTAAAGAAAGTTGAGACATTTCAGGAATATTTGTATGACTTGATGGGTATATCAAAGAATATCGATTTAGATGAGTGTCCCTTTTTTTGAATCGTTGGGCCCAGGCTCACGTTACATTTACATATATTAGACGCTGCATTGGTCGCTGCAACTAAGGGATGAAATATTTATTACTTTGTGTCGGATAACGCGCAGGTTATTCGAGTACTGTCTGTATTTTTATTATTATGTATGTTCATGTTTGAACAATGAGTTTGATCGAGTACTTTTTTGAAGGATTTCTAGACTCTAGGATAAATAAGACACTTTTCTACCAAGCTCAATCGATTAAACAGCTAAAAGTGCAGATACAGAGTTATCAGACAGAGCGTAATTCAACGCCGAATACGTTCATTACAAGAAATAATGCAGTCATAAGAGATTTTCCAGATAAAAAGCAAGTTAAAAAAGCTCTAGTCGAGACTGCTCTACTACGAAATCCCCTGAACCCTTCTAATAATTAATATTTCAATAATAAATCTCGTCTTTCTGGTTACATAAGAAACACACACACAGGCCTGCATAGGCATGCACGCATAAACACTTACTATGGAAACTATTCGACTTACTATGGGATGTTAATTGTTTAATAACTTTTCTTGTTGATGGACTATCTCCATGAAACTTATTGATCGTGATCATAACATTGAAAGGCGTGCATGTCCTAAAGCGCAATTTGAATAACGCAATATCCCAAAAGAATGAATTGACCCAAAAAAAATGCACAAAAACTGTGTTCCATATAATTGGAGTGTTAACAACTAAGGAATAACAAAATTTTCTTAATATTTCACCATACATTTTTGGACTTTATGCCGCCTATCACGGAAAATCGCCTATAGTGCACTGTAGAAGTAGAGTCATTTATTTCATTTATATTTTTATACCTTGAACCCATTGAAAATGGGAAATCAGGGTATAATGATTTTGTAAAAAAGTAACGGGACCATAGAGAAAGTGAGAGAAGAGAGAGATAGAGTGTGAGAGAGAGTAGGACAAATAATGCAAGGCGCATACAACGGGACCATATTGTTTGCATGCTTGCAGCACACTGACTTCGTCATGCTTTTTTTTTCCTAGGTCCGTGTGTACCACGCGCATATCGAGTTTTGCTTTAAAAATCGATAACTTGCCCCGTTATTTTTTATCGATTAAAAACTTATTGAAAACCAGTAAAAAATGTATATCCCCTACATATTTAAAGCTAGAATCACCAAATATATATTAGCTGCATTTTATATAATTTCGATTTTTGTTAAAATTTACCCCCTACCACTATATCTACCCCCTCTCCCACACATTTGTAAAAGGCGTATTTCAAATACTAGAGACTTGTGATTTGGAAAATACATGCATATTTTATAGTTATAATCTGAAAGTTTCATGAAGATCGTCCATCGACAAGAACATTTATTAAACAATTAATTTCCCATAGTAAGTGGGGGCTTATGCGTGCAGCCAATGCGTGTTTATGCGTGCGTGCGTATTCCTGTGTATGTGCGTGTGTGTGTGCATGTGCGAATAATTATTGAAATATCAGTTGCTCGAAGGGTTCAGGGGATCTCGAAGTCGAGCAGTCTCGACTAGAGCTTTCTTACTTGTTTTTTATTAGGTTGGTTCAGTGTAGTATCTAGTCGAGCACCCTCGACTAGAGTTTTCTTTTTTGTTGTTATTGTTATTATTTAATTTTAACGACCACATAGATAATTAAAGTTTTTAGTTAAAATGAGGTATTATTATTTTCAGGTTTAATTTAATGAAAAATTGTTTTAGTAATACGACTTTAAAGCTCTTGGTTTGTTTGGTTTAATAAATTTGTTTTTGATTGATCGCTAGCAATCTGTTGCTTCTAATCTAATCTTGTTATGCTTGTCATTTTATCCATTATGAAGTCATAACTAATATAAGCATTATAATAGATAATTTACAAGAAAATTAACATTTAAAAGTGTTCGATATATTGCTATTATCGATCTTTTTTCTGAAAATATCGTAAATATCGATACTACGAAATATAGATTTTTTTGCAGCACATGTCGGAGATCTCCTGAAACCTGCAAAGAACTGATGTTTATGTATATCATTCAAGATTCTTTTACACACGCATACAAAACAAGAAAGCACGTTGCAGTCGGACGATACCGATTGCAGAATACTCATTCACAGCCCAAACGCTGTCAGCCCGAGTATATGTACATATAGTGCAATTTTAAAGTCTCTAGTGCGCAACGAAAAGCAAGGCCTGATCCCATTAAAATTAAGAAATCATTGATAGCTATTCCCTCTTATACATGTCTAGTATATCATTGCAGCTAGGATCTTCAAATCACATATCCAATTTATACAATTTCGATTTTTGTTAAATTTTGGTTACCGGCTCCAAGTAAGTAGTAGATCAGCGCGATTTTCTTATACATGTGCACACACTCATCGTGTATTTTATGCGTACAGACGAGGGTGACCATCCGTCTTGGAATTCCGGGACATGTCTCGCTTATGGTGGTAATGTCCCGGTATCCCGACCTGACACGAAATTGTTCCGGTTTTCTAGCGTTTCGATAAAAAAAAAAATATACATTTTGACAAAATGCAAACTTGAAGATGTTTGTGTCGCGACAAGTCAAGAAAATTGTTTTGAAAAACAACGCAGATAAGGTAGTACAATTTTTTGCAACAAACGTACAATCGTGTTGTTACTCGGAAGTATTAAAAATAGCTCAAATTCTGCATGCGATTTGCATGCAAATTCCGAAAGGGGTTTTTTCTTACTAAATACACAGTGGTCAGACGAAAGAATGAAGTTACTGGTGGAGGATGTTAAAAACATCCATATAGTTCGATTTAATTTTGTGGACATAAAAACATTAAATATTGATGAAAGAAATGTTATGTACATATGTTGGGAAAAATAGGCAGTGTGGAGAAGTATAAGTTAGGCAATCATGAATATAATAACAATTAAATATAAGGATGTATTCATATATATGGATGTTCGTCTTATGGAATTAGTCCCAAGGTAATGTAATTATGCTAAATATGAAGAAATTAAAAGTTGAATGTATGTGTGAATCTGTGTGACAAATGATTTATTTCATATTTATTTTAGTTGTTGACAGTCCCGGAATGGGCTCCTGCCCAGATGGTCACCCTGGTACAGACAAAAGCGCGCCTTTGAGCATATTCTAAGAATTTCGATTGATTTCTGGATTTTCTAGCCTATACTGTAGTTTTGTCCGATGACGCTCTAGCACTGATGACGCTCTAGCAACTAGCTGATCAAACAAAGTAGTGGCGTGGATTGTAAAGGCAATGCAAATCGTGCTAGCGTAGCGATGGTTTTAATCCTTTCCGATTTTATGTGTTTTTATACCCTGAGCCCATTGAAAATGGGAAATCAGTGGTTTTGTTGAAATGTATGTAACATGCAGAAGGAGGCGTGGCAGACCCCACAAAGTATATATATTCTTGATCAGGGCGAAGATCTGAGTCAATTTGGCCCTGTCTCTGAACGCGTCGATTTCAGAAGATATAAGAGCTAGAGACTTCAAATTATTTTTTAAATGTCCGTATATACAGAGCGGATATCAAGTTTATCACAAACAAGTAAGAAAGCTCTAGTCGAGACTGCTCGACTACGAGATCCCCTGAACCCTTGGAGCAAGAGATGTTTCAATAATTTTTCGTGACTTTCAGCTTACACAAGAAACACGCATACACACATACACACACGCACGTACGCACACACAGGCATACATACACACACACGCATACAGACACACATACACACACACGCATACATACACAAACGCATACACACACACACACATACACACATAAACATTTACACACATACACACACAAGCATAAACACGCATGGGCGGCAGTGTGCCCTTACTATGAGAACTTAATTGTTTAATAACTTTTTTTATGGATGTACGATCTTCATAAAACAAAAATTATGATTATAATATGCATGTAATTGCCAAAGCACAAGTCTCTAGTATTTGAAATACGCTTTTTACAAAAGTGATGGTGAGGGGGTGAATTTAGAGGTGGGGGGTAAATTCTAACAAAAACCGAAATTGTATAAATTGCATATAAGCATACATTAAAAATTTGGAGACTCTAGCAATAAAGGTGTAGAAAATATAATTTTATAACTGGGTTTCGATAAGGTTTTTTATCGATAAAAAAAGATCGAGATGAGTTATCGATTTTTAATGATAAACTTGATATCCGCGCTGTAATTACGGACATTAAAAAAAAATTTGAAGTCTCTAGCTCTTATATCTTCTGAAATCGACGCGTTCATACATACGGACAGACGGACAGGGCCAAATCAACTCAGCTCGTCACCCTGATCAAGAATATATATACTTTGTGGGGTCTGCCACGCCTCCTTCTCCCTGTTACATACATTTCAACAAAACCATTATACCCTGATTTCCCATTGAAAATGGGTTCAGGGTATAAAAATCGATAACTCATCCCCCTATTTTTTTTATCGATAAAAGCCCTTATCGAAAGATAGTTATTTAATTATATCTCTTATATCTTTAAAACTAGACTCTCCAAATTTTTCATGCA